GTTTCTCTCTCCAAATCTCCACCCCACTCACCCACGTATCAAACCACACCCCACGTATTTCCTCTTCAATCACCCACTATTTCCTCTTCTAAAACCAGCGAAAATCTGTAACCCCTCCATCATTGACAACCATTAAAAAAGCTTTGAAGCTTTAAATTCGAATTTGGGTTTTCTAAAAGACATTGTTTGTTTGGATTGGATGTTGTTGCAAAGAATTGAGAATTCTCTCTACGTCTCTCTCTATCTCTCAATCCCAAATCAGTAATATAAAGCAAAGGAAAAGAGAGCAGCAATTCCACCATTAATAGCCATTAAAAAGCTCTGAAGCTTTGAATTCGAATTTGTGTTTTCAAAAATCATTATTTGTTTGGATTGGGTGTTGTTGCAAATAATTGAGAATATGGTTTGGAGTTTATATCTCAATTTTGAAGGGTTTTGGTGAAGATTAGACTTGGTTTTGGCTGAATTTCAGATTGAAACTCGAAGAAGAAGAAGAAGAAGAAGAAGAAGAAGAAGAAGAAGAAGACGATGACATACATTATATTGCAGAAATTGTAGAAAAATTGTATTATGTTGTTTATTTTTTTTAATTCATTTAACTATTGTATGAAATTTGAACAACATTGTATAAAAATTATATTTAAGTGGTATTATATTGTAGTTGTATATAACTGAGTAGAAATAATGTACGAAAATTGTAGATAAGTTGTATAATATATAATTAGTTATATGAAATTTGTTTTTACTATGTATAAATCAGATACAAAATATACAAAAGACATATTGTATAAAATTTGTATTTACGTTGTATGTTATTGTAGTTGTATTTAACTGGGTAGAAATAATGTGTGAAAGTTGTAGATAAGTTGTATAATATATTGGTATGAAATATATTTTTACTATGCATAAATGAGATACAAAATATACACAAGAATATTGTATAAAATTTGTATAAAAATTATGTTTAAGTTGTATGATATTGTAGTTGTATATAACTGGGTATAAATAATGTATGTAGATAAGTTGTAGATAATTTAATTTCTTATCTCCAGCTAGATATTAATCATCCTCAGCAAGTCTTGGTTTAACAGAGTTATTTTGGAGGTTCAATTTGTTGTAAACACCAAGAGCAACCCTAATTATCTTCACAGCTCGAAATTTATAAAAATCGAACATAAGTTAGAATCTGCACAAGAATTTTTACACGTATATTGTTCTCGTGATTGTATATCTCCTTATATTCCTTTTTGTGAAGCATAATTTGCAATCAGATCACTAATTTTAATTTCATTTCTATCCTCTACTTGATGCTTAATGTTCTTTTTTCTTTTTCTTTTCTAGTTGTTGATTTTTGTAGATTGAGGATGAAGAACGACAAATAATATCATGAATTCAAGTGGAAACAGTTTTCAAGCGAAGCAAGAATCTGGTGGAACCAACAACAGTAAATTGACCTCAAAGGCTACTACATCAACAAGTTCAAGGCAGTGGGGAGGCTTTAAAAATCCAAGAATTGTACGTGCATCGCGTACTTTTGGTGGAAAAGATAGACACAATAAAGTCTGCACAATAAGGGGTCTTAGAGATAGAAGAATTAGACTTTCAGTGCCTACTGCAATTCAATTCAATAAGGGGTCGAAAGTTATCAGTTTTGTGTTCGATTTAAGAGGAAAGAGAAGAGGAGGGAAAAAAAAAAACGGAAAATGGTGTAACTAAATCCCTTAATTGAAGGCACTAATAATGGATTGAAAGCCTTTTAAGGTAGAATGTATATATTTTGTAAACAAAACTTGTGTAGGTAGGGTAATTTACTAGACATGAACATCTAGGGTAATAAAGTTTCTAATATGGCATAGGAATGTAAAAATCCCTTTTATAAATCCGTATGTAACTATGAAAATATCCATCTAGAAATATCATTTTAACTTTGGGCTTAAGATCTTCGGCCACCTAAAACAAATATGGCCCATTTTCAACATGGACGGAGCATTCCAAATTCCCAATTATGCTCCAGCCCACGAGTGAGATAATAAAACCCTACAAAATCCTATTTTTGTTGGATTTTTGAACAATTGAAGTGAAGTTGCATTCTAGAAGTAAAAACACCAAAGAATCATCGAACCATGGCATCTGCAGATCAGAAGCAAAACATTGTTTCAGCTCTAAGCAAGCACCTCTCAACCCTGTCATTAGACCCAGTAAGTTTTTTTCAGCCCTCGCATTTTCTAGAGTATGCATGAATTAAGTTGAGTGCATGTAACAAATACAAATTGATGGATTTATTTTGGTGCTAAATTATGCAGAATTCGGATAAGGACATTAAAAGCTTGTGTACAGAAATTTTAAATTCTTCCCAAAAAGATAATGAGGTAATATTTCAACATTTGCTAGCTTTTTGTACTGTGTTTTGGATTTATTTAGTTTCAATTTGACGTTGAGATCAAATTTTCATTTCAGTTAGTGAAATGGGTGGAGTTCGCCAGTAACTTCCCTGTTGATTCTGGGGCAAGCTTTAAAGCTCTAAGTAAGTTGAATGAGGATTTGAGTAAAAAGTCTGTTATTTTGGGCAATGGGCTCAAGATTTCAGCAGCTGATATAGTTGTTTTTGCATCGGTGTATTCATCCGTGGTATGTATTTCCTTTCTTAGGTGCTTTCGGATATTTTATCATAGGAAATCATTTTCTTGATCATATTTGGTTTGGTATCAAAATGATCGATTGTATAAACAGTAGTATATGAAATTCGAATAGCAATTTGGTGTTATTTTGGAGTATTAAAGGCTGACAACAATTTCAAAATGTTGATAGCAACAAGTACTTATATTTTTGATAAAGAAACAAGTACTTATCTTGAATAAAAGTTGAGATATTTGTAATGGAAAATCATTCTTCCTACAAGTGACGGAAACCGATTCCTCCCTTTTGTTGGAAATGGACATTTTCTATCATACCCAACACACCTTGAAGAGTTACGTTTTACTTAAATATGATCTTTATTTCCATGTTTCATTGTCATGTTAGGCATACATATTAAAGCTTTTATTAGTCAACTAGGGGATTCTTATTCTTTGTTATTACTGTAATGTAAGTGGTTTAATTGTCACCTTCCACAGTTCCTTAATTGAAACATGCTATAGTTTTGAATGCAAACTTCTTTAGCTCACTCTTTTTGTTCTAACATGCTATCATTATTCTACTGCCGTCAGATTAGTCTTTCAAACTCTGACAGAAACAAATTGCCGCACTTGCTTAGATGGATGGACTATATCCAGGTATGCTAGAATTTTATATCTATCTTGAAACTGAGATTAGATGATAGTGGAGTGGTAGTATATAGAAATTGGGATCTTCATCCTGCAGTATATTAAATGTCAAAAGGCAAGGCTTACGCGATGACCTAGATGTGTTGAGTTTGGTGATGTCCGCAGGTTGTTTTACTTAGGATGGAATCTTTCTACTAATTGGGCATGAGTATGCCTGTCACAACTCAAAATCCCACCAAAGGCCGCGATGGCGCCTAACCTGCTTGCTAGGCAAGCCAACATTTAACAACAGTTATAGAAACCAATTATTAAGCCTTTAGCAAGTTATGATAATAATGAATGCAGAAATAGTCTCAAAACCAATAACATAAATACAAATGTCTAAGACGGGGTATAAACACGACCACAACTATCTAATGCAGTGTTTTTGAGTGCGAAAAGCGCAAAAAAGCGACAGGGGCTCGTCTCGCTTCAAAAGCGACAGGGGCTCGCCTCGCTTCAAAAGCGAAGCGCACACTTCATTGAAGTGAAGCGCAATTTTTAAAAAGCATAATGTAAACCTTGCAAAGACACAATATAAATAATCAAAAAGTTCAATTTAAAAACTTTGGGACATTTTTAAATCCCTATTAATATAAGAAAATACATAATCAAATAAACTGAAAATACATATAAAATTAATCAAATAAACTGAAAATATAACATATATATACTCCCTCCGTTCCAATTTATGTGAACCTGTTTGACTGGGCACAGAGTTTAAGAAAAAATAAAGACTTTTGGAATTTGTGATCCTAAACAAGTCAAAAAGGGGCCCAGAGTATTTTTTTTGGTTATAAAAGCTTCTTATTAAGGGTAGAATTGTAAGTTTAAGCTAAATTATTACCAAATTTAGAAAGGGTTCATTCTTTTTGGAACGGACCAAAAAGAAAATAGGTTCACATAAATTGGAAGGAGGCAGTATTGGCTAGCCAATTTTTGAATTCGGAATTATAAATAGCTAGTATTTGCGAAGTTATTGAAAAGTAGTCACTATTTAGCTGAAACACCGAAAGTTCCAGCATAATATACTGGATTTTGGGGCTTCTCCGTATAAAATTTTAGGATATTATGTTGGAACTCCGATACATTATGAAACACCAACAAATTATGTTGATATCTCATATGCAAAAAATTCGAACTCCAGTGTATTATGTTGGAATTTGTACGGATTTTGAAGGGTATTTTTTGTTCAAATTTTATCTTTATATGAAAAAGTGGCTAAATTTTGATTACTTTTGAAACTCCTATTTTTTAATTACTAGCTATAAATCTGACTATTTTTTGATTTTTTTTCCCATATACGTAAACCTTTAGGGCTTGTTTAAGTCTTATCGTAATTGAATTTGAATGTAATTTAATTAATTATACGGTTTGACATATTTGCTTGCATATGTAATTATTTAGTCAATATGAATTAAGTGTATGGGTCAGAATCCGACCCCACGATAATTAGCAAAGTTAATCTCATCCTAAGCTAATCCATGATAAAATTAGTGGTATGGCCATTAATAATTAACGGTAATCAACCCTTATTTGATTCAATCAACAAGGCCACGACCCATCCGCCATCATGAAGGCAAAGCCCCAGCGTGGTCACGGCCACTTATTGCCAGCTCACGTAGCTCACAGCTATAAATACCAAGAGAGAGAACCCTAGAAAGAGGGGCTTCTTCTTGACCACTATACTCTACTATTCTCCAAAATAAGAGAGAAAGAGAGAGGAGACAGAGGCATCCATCGTGGAGGAAGATAAAACACCATTGTAAGGCTCTGAACCTCTTCATGGAGAGGCAGACCAAATCAATATCATTAATAAAGAGTTGCTAATGTTTCTTCTCTTAAACTTGAGTGTTTATTATCGTTTCTTTCAGTTGGTCCATGGATTATTACGATTTGCTATGATTTGCCCGTAACTCGTATACATTGTTTTGTATTCATAAAGTATGTGATAACTTTTGAGCAAATAATTTGGCACCGTCTGTGGGGATTTCCTAGCAAAATTGCGTAGTTCTTCCCTGGACCAAAAGGAAATCAAACGCCAAAAGGACGAACAACCCCGCTCGAACAAGCCCAAAACGGCACCTCTGACAGAAGGAACTCGAAGATCTCAAATCAAGATCCAAGTTCTCTCTCTCTCTGATCTCCGACAGTGCGAGCAAGAAGAAACCCCCCCCCCCCTAAGGGAGAATCCCAGTGAGGCATCTCCCGCATCCCAGATACGGGATCTGGCCGAAAACCGGCATTGAGATATCTCGAGCCAAGAGCCACCTCAAGACAACCTACATGCTCCAATCGGGAAAACAATGCATAAATCGCTCAAAGTCTCGAGTCAAAACCGAGCTTCAGCACTCGATACCCACAACCAAGACTCAGGCTATGCGCCTTCGCCATCAAAATTAACAGTTCAACAACAGTTGAACTGGGACTCAGGCTATGCGCCTTCGCCAACAAGGTCAACTACGGTTGAACCAAGACTCAGGCTATGCGCCTTCGTCTACAAGTTCAACTACGGTTGAACCAAGATTCAGGCTATGCACCTTCGCCATCAAAATTAACAGTTCAACAACAGTTGAACTGGGACTCAGGCTATGTGCCTTCGCCATCAAAATTAACAAAGTTCAACAACAGTTGAACTGGGACTCAGGCTATGCGCCTTCGCCAACAAGTTCAACTACGGTTGAACCAAGACTCAGGCTATGCGCCTTCGCCAACAAGGTCAACTACGGTTGAACCAAGACTCAGGCTATGCGCCTTCGCCATCAAAATTAACAGTTCAACAACAGTTGAACTGGGACTCAGGCTATGCGCCTTCGCCAACAAGTTCAACTACGGTTAAACCAAGACTCAGGCTATGCGCCTTCGCCATCAAAATTAACAAAGTTCAACAACAGTTGAACTGGGACTCAGGCTATGCGCCTTCGCCATCAAAATTAACAAAGTTCAACAACAGTTGAACTGGGACTCAGGCTATGCGCCTTCGCCAACAAGGTCAACTACGGTTGAACCAAGACTCAGGCTATGCGCCTTCGCCATCAAAATTAACAAAGTTCAACAACAGTTGAACTGGGACTCAGGCTATGCGCCTTCGCCAACAAGTCAAGGCTATGCGCCTTCGCCAGTAAGTTCAACTACGGTTGAACCAAGACTCAGGCTATGCGCCTTCACCATGAAATCAAGGCTATGCGCCTTCACCAGAAGTTCAACTACGGTTGAACCAAGACTCAGGCTATGCGCCTTCGCCATCAAAATTAACAAAGTTCAACAACAGTTGAACTGGGACTCAGGCTATGCGCCTTCGCCATTAAATCAAGCCTATGCGCCTTCGCCAGTAAGTTTAGCTACGGTTGAACCAAGACGCAGGCTACGCGCCTTCGCCATCAAATCCAACGAGTTCGACCTCGCTTGAACCATGAGGCTAGATGCCTTCGTCCTCAAATCTAACAAGTTCAACCACAGTTGAACTGGGACTCGGACCAAGCGCCTTCATCATTGAACTCAGCAAAACCCAACCTCCAACGAATCGCGGCGCAGGTTAGGCACCCTCGCCATTCAAGTAAGTACTCCCAGCTCGAACTAAGATTAGGGACGCGTAAAGTCCGAGCCCGGTCAAACTACAAGGCCGCATTTTTTATCATCACGGTCGATAGTTCGACCGCGCCCGAACTGGGACTATGGCTAAAGGCTGAGTGCCGCTATCGCCAAGCAACGGCTCCGACTCGCTCACCCCGAGTCGAAGAAGAAAAGTCGTCAACAATCAAAAACTAACATGCCTACCAGAGTCAAACGCGAAGGCAAATCACCCCTTCGAACGCATCCAAAGAAAAATCTAAAAGGGAAAAAGGGAAGGTACAAAGCAGATACAAGGCAAATAACGGAAAGGAGATCTCATTTATCCACGAAATTAATTGCTAGTCATCCCCGCTTACACTCGGCCAAGGCCGATCAATACAAGGAAAGAGAAAAAAAGAAGAACAAGAAACACCTAAATGCCAAACGGCGAACAAAACAAGAAAAAATGCATAACATCTTTTTACTCGGCGCCATCCATGCCACCATCTGCACCAGCGTCAGCCTCTGGCGTCGCCGCGTCAAAACCACAGTCGGTACGGGCCTCACGAGCCTTTTGACACGCTCCCTCGAAAGCAGCTTCGGTCACGATGCCGGCCTCCCACAAATTCTTATATACATCACATTGGGCCTCGGCAAAGACCCAAAGTTCGCGAGCCTGGCTGGAAGAAGCGGCTTGGTCCCGTAGGCGCTGATTCTCTTCTTCTAAGGCTGAGATCCGGTCCGCCATGACTTGGGCGTCCTGCTCAAGGACACCGATCCGCTCCTCGAGACTCGCTTCTCTAAAGGCCGCAGCAGCCCTCTCCAATGCCCGTTGGGACTCGTGCACGCGGATACCTTCCTTTAACGCCCCAGCCATCGATGAGGCGTCCCTCACCTGAAGCTTCAATACCGCGACTTCAACCTCCAACGCAGTCACTTTCCTGCTCCATGCCGCGGCTGCCTCCGCCGCCTTAGCCCGGCCCTGGCGCTCACACTCAGCTGCAGCCCTCGTTCCCGCCTCGAGCTCCTCATCCTTCCGACGGAGCTGCTCCTCGAGAGCACTCGTTCTGCCAAGTGGTTGCTGCACCTGAAGCTCCCGCCTCGCCAGTTCCTCGACCAAGGCCCGGCTACGGGGATCATTCCTCAAGAGCACGCGCATCTCTCGGCACCGATCTCGGTAGCGGCGATACTTCTCCAACACCCGCAAAAATATCCCCGAGCGGACGTTGGCTCGACGGATGCTCTCCACCTCCAAAAAATAAGACTTCAAAGCAAATACAACGATTAAGATAAAGAACAAACTAAGACGAAGAAGAAACGAACCGACGTCATATTACATACCCTCAAGCCCATCATAGCTACTTCATTCATCAGTCCGATATCCGTAACGTCCCTCAACGACGCGCTCTCGGCCTCCGAGCATAGCAGCTCGAACTGCGGCACCAAGTTTTCCCCTTGGAGCAATAAGTTCAACTCCGTGGGAACCTCGATGAAGCGAGATCGCCCCTCTGCGCGCACCGCTGAATTGGTGAAGCCTTCCTGGAACATACGGACGTCGTCGGGGTCCAAGTCGGATTCGGACTCGTACTCATCTCCTACAGCATCCCTTCCTCCTTCCGCCACTAGATAGGTGGAACCACCCGCCGTAACCACTGAAGGAGCGCTTAACTCACCAACATTAGCAGCCGCTGAGGAACTACCTCCCGTCTCAGTGACTGGAACCTCCAACCGAGTCGCCGAAGCGACGGTATCATCATGACCCAATCCAACCGGAGCAACCCCCATAGTTTGTTCGCCCTCAGGGGCAGGCGCCGCAACCGCACTCCTCTCCGCATCCGTCGGGGGGGAGTCCAAATTAATTACCATAGGAGGAGCCGGCGTGAACACGACCCCACGCCTTATCAATGGCCTCTCCTCCTCCCCATCTGATGGTG